TATTAGGTATAGAAGCGACGTTCTTTMTAAATAATATATGTCTCTATAAAAAAAAAATTTTGTCATATTCTTGTTCATGTAATTTGATCATAATAAATTAATGTATTTAATTTATGTTTATGTTTTTATCGTGTTCTACACAAATCCATAGAAATTTCAGTACTATATTTTTAAATTAGTAATTTTTCCATCTACTTTTATCAATCTATATGGCCATATTATAATTGTATAATCCTTGTTTTAAAAACATTTAACGTCAAATTAATTTTTGTTCATTATTTTTTAGATGTATTATGGAGGGAAACATTATTGGACCGTGCGCAGTGAGGTTTGGATTTGGATGAATCATCGTTGTCTAAGCGTCCGCCTCCATCTATGGGCACACACACACTATGATAATATGTCTCACACTTCTTACGACACACAAACAACGTACCTACAGCTAATATCGAGTGTGCGTGTGTGTTCATCAAACGCCCGATTTGGTAATTCAATGGCTGTAAACAGGCCTAAACGGGTAAGGTCGTAATTTTTTCGAGGATACAGTTCTAGTGGTTTTGAATTTGTTCTGTGAATAATATTATATTATTACTATTATTATTTATGGTCAGTCTAAAAATACGTTACACGCGACTCTAGAAATAACCCTTTCCAGATAAAATCAAACTGGTAGCATAGTGCCATGTGTCATCGGGATATTTTTATATCTGCCCAGTGGTGTAATGTCGTTGTGGGTGAGAATAATTAGATACGTGGGTTAGCATTCGCGTTTGCCAAATCTGATGACGTTTATACAACGGTTATGCGCCAATATAATACATCTTGAATGCATGTATTTTATAAAATAATTTAGGCACATACAATGTTGTATTGCTATTGTAGTTAAGAAATATTACAGCCACTGGAAAAAAATTCTAAACAAGAATGTAGTACGTGAAGGTGTTCTTAAAAATGGTCAGGTTTTACTCACAAAAGTCGAGGAATCGAAATTTTAGAAATCTAATATCTACCACGAAATACAAATACATGTATCACGTTAATTATTATTATTATTATTATACATATTTTTTAAACATTTATTAGAATATAATATACAATCTGTAATAGTAGTTACAATAAGCATATGAGGAGAAATGTACAAGGTGACTGTGAAATCGTGAGGGCCGAGGGGAGTAGCTACCCAGCAGTTACACTCGACAATTTATTATTATAAAAAAAAAATCATCATATTATACTTATAATATTATGAAAACATAATAAACCCATGATAAGTATGTGGTATGTGCTATTAATTCGATTAATGTTCATAAAAATACACTTTAAACTACATTATAGCTAAATCAAAGATGTCCCATTGGCATTTTATGGACGTAAAGTAACCTGTAATGTGCCAATCTTGTGGGGAATCCCTTACAGTCGAGCTCCTTCTTGTTTGCTGTAGAAACCACATGGAAACTAGAAAAAGCAGAAGAATGTCTGACAACCTCTTTGAAACTCATGGCCAAACCAAAGAAAACACCGACAAAATATATAACTTAATTTCTAATATTGAAAATGTTTTGACTTCAGTTTAAATTTAAGTCAAATTATTATTTACTAACTGTAATTTTTTTTTAAAATAAAATTTACAGTAAATAATTCATTCGTTACAACAATAGCGTATTATATACTACTTTCATATTTTACAATTACTTATGTAATTTTTTTTTTAATATTGCAATGTGAATAGTGTTTAGAAATTAATATTAAAAACATTTTTAAGATTATTTAAATATTTAGCTGCTAAAGTACTTACTAGTTACTACATACTATTAAAATTAATGAATGTAAGTAATAGGCAAATAAAAATATGATAGTTACTGAAAATCCTTCGAGGGAAGTCTATAAATATTGATTATGCTGTTTAAATATAACATAATATTATTAATAATAACTGTTTTTGATTAATCATTTATTATTACCCAAAGTCGTGTTGAAATTATTGTTTAAATGTTACAAAGCGTTTGATCATCGTAGAATAAATATATTGTTAACTGTCTCAATCTTTAATCAAAATTATGATTTTGACTATAATTAATTTACTAAACCATTGATTCGGATTTCGGATACGTACCTATGTGTATAATATAAATGCAACACAATATGATTAGTTTGTTGAGAACAGAGAAACTGTTGGGGGTGAGATTGTATTTACAAGGGTCGTATTTTATCGTTTCGATCAACATCGTAATCATTACTGTTTTTAATATTTAAACGTAAACACGTTTAACGTCTATTTTGTTGTGTACCTACCTGACTTTTGGCAGCATCTCCGATCAGCCTTTCCGAATCTGTGAACGCCACGTAGCTGGGTGTCGTCCGATTTCCCTGGTCGTTGGCGATGATTTCCACTTTTCCATGTTGCCACACGCCCACACACGAGTAAGTGGTACCCAAGTCTATACCCACAGCTGGTATTTTGCTCATTTTTCAAAATATTTTATTAAACGAAAACTGAAATGGAAAAACTAGTTGTTATCACTCTGTTAGAGCGAGCTAAACGAAAGAAAAAATAATAATACGTAACCGTCACTTGACTGTTGAAGTGTCAAAGAAAACGCATACAAAGCTGAGCACACGGTATTTATACTTCTGGCCACCACTTCTCTCCGACAGATCATTTATAGACCGGAACCACGCCCACGTCCGAATGTTTGTTTTTATTCAACATAAACCGTTCGTAACATTTTTAAAAACACAAACACTATTATTTTTACTATTATTATTATTATTATTTGAAGATACCTTCGTATGTAGTGGCCATTGGGAGAAAACATTATTAGTTATTACTTATTACGTATGTACCTATGTACTTATATTGCATAGCACAGAGAGATGTCTTATTTGTATTTTAAAATTAACACGAATTTAGTACCTAAAAACTCATGTCTCATATGTGATTATGATAAACTCAATGATAATATAATTTCTGTTCTGTAAAAATTCATCATTAATTATAATACATTTATTGTTTATGTAACTTATATACTGCTGCAGTCCTTAGATTTTTGTTTTTATGTACATAAAAAATAAAACATTATTTTAAGTATAATATTATGCATATATATTATATACAGTCAAATAGTTGAAAAAATGAATCCAAGGTCCGTTTAATATTTTTTGAAAAATGAATGAGTTTTTATATAGAATACCTTTGTATCTAAGTAAAGTACCAAAGTAGGTACATTTATAGGTTTCTTTAATTTGGACGCAATAAAAAATCAATTATAGAAAATACATATAGCATCTTGATTAATAATACCGTATGGAAGAAAGTAGTAAATAATTCTATTCTAGTCGTTTAATTCATATTTTTATTTTTTTTTTTGGTTTCTAAAAAATCAAATTTATCTGATCCGGTTTATGGTTCATAGGAAAATCAAAAAAGTTTTCGATTCGATAAAATTAATTATTAATTTTAATACTGATGATTTTGACCAATGTCCAATTTTAATACAAAAAATCAAAAGGGTCCCAACAATTAATTTGAAAAATGACTCAATGGTGGCCATCTTCATAAACCAAATGCAGTACATACTACATAGTACTATAATCTGTATATAATTATTTATCAATATTATTGTTTTACCTAAAGTTCATTGTCGTATTAAAAAC